GAAAAAGAGATGGAAGAGGAGATCTTAATGCAGAGACGTGAAGAGGAGGGGAGAGGTAAAGAGAGAAGAAAGGCTCTTCTGGAGAAAGAAGAACGTAAATGGAAGGAGATTGAAGCATCTCTTATATCTTCTATTCCCAATGCTGGAAACAGGGAAGCAGTGGCCATGGCAGCAGCTGTGCGTGCTGTGGGTGGTGATTCTGTTCTTGAGGATTCCTTTGCACGGGAGAGGGTTTCAAGCATTGCTCGTCGGATACGTGCAGCTCAATTAGCTCGCCGAGCACTTCAGGTTTGTTTTTATAATTTATCATATATAATTTGTTTTCTGTAAATTGGCCCCTCAACTACATTTTTATGTTACTCAAGGGCTGTGTTTACTTCTATCAAGTTGATTTTACTATTACAGCCTAGCACTAATAATTATTAGTGTTTAGTAATTTATGATTTCTGGTGAATAATGCCCAATGACAGACGGGAATTTCTGGTGCTGTTTGTGTTCTTGATGATGAACCAACAACAAGTGGTAGAAACTGTGGCCAGATTGATCCAAGCATTTGTCAAAGTCAAAAGGTTAGCTTTTCAATTGCAGTGATGATCCAACCGGAGTCCGGGCCAGTTTGTCTATTAGGCACTGAATTCCAGAAGAAAGTGTGCTGGGAAATTCTGGTCGCGGGTTCTGAACAGGGTATTGAGGCTGGACAAGTTGGTCTTAGATTGATTACTAAAGGTGACAGGCAGACAACTGTTGCCAAGGAGTGGAGTATCAGTGCAACAAGTATTGCGGATGGAAGGTCTTGACATTTTCTTTAATTGGCAATATTTTGTACCTGATCATATTTTTCTCACTGTAGCCTGTAGATTTTATGTTCGGGAAGGGTATATGGTTAGGTTGGGAAGATTCTTTATTGTTCAGTGTACTTTTAATCTCATACCTCTTTAACTTTCAATTCTTAATGCGATATAATGATTGTTTGCAGGTGGCATATTGTGACAATGACTATTGATGCTGATATAGGGGAAGCAACTTGTTATTTAGATGGTGGTTTTGATAACTACCAAACTGGGTTACCCTTGCATGTCGCTCACTGCATTTGGGAACAGGGCACAGAAGTTTGGATTGGTGTTAGACCGCCAATAGATATGGATGCCTTTGGAAGGTCAGATAGTGAAGGAGCTGAGTCTAAGATGCATATAATGGATGTTTTTCTATGGGGAAGGTTGTTAAGTGAAGATGAGATTGCTTCTCTTCATGCTGCTATAGGCTCAGCTGACTTCAACATGACTGATTTCCCTGAAGATAACTGGCAATGGGCAGATTCACCCCCTAGAGTATGGCCAACTGTCAATTTAATGTCTTCGGTGATTTGGCTAAGATTTCCATCTCTGAACATGGTTTACAATATATCTTATTAATCTATTCATTTGTTGCTTTCTGACAATTTCAGGTTGATGAGTGGGATAGTGACACTGCTGATGTCGACCTATATGATAGGGATGATGTGGATTGGGATGGTCAATACTCAAGTGGAAGGAAAAGAAGGTCAGATCGTGATGGTGTGGTAGTCCATGTAGATTCTTTTGCCAGGAGGTACAGGAAACCTAGGATGGAAACACAAGAGGAAATCAATCAGCGGATGCTGTCAGTTGAGTTGGCTGTCAAAGAGGCCCTCTCTGCCCGAGGCGAAGCACACTTTACTGATAATGAGTTTCCTCCAAATGATCAATCATTATTTATAGATCCATCGCATCCTCCTTCTAAGTTGCAGGTACTTTTTGTGAATTACTTGTTTCTTGTGTTAAATTGTGGTTGAGCTAACCAAAGCCTGCCTTTTTAACCAAGGTTGTCTCTGAGTGGAAGAGGCCAGCTGAAATTGTGAAAGAAGGCCATCTAGAATCCCGCCCATGCTTATTTTCTGGGGCTGCAAATCCATCTGATGTTTGTCAGGTTTATCAATTATGCAGCATGATTTGCATTCTTTTGATACTGTTAATTTCATTGAATTGTGTTTCATTAATGAATGTAATTTGATGGATTGACTCTCTGAGCTAAGAGTTACCTGCTAATGGAATAGGGCCGGCTTGGTGATTGCTGGTTTCTGAGTGCTGTTGCTGTTTTAACTGAAGTTTCACGAATTACAGAAGTGATTATTACTCAAGAATATAATGAGGAAGGAATCTACACTGTTCGCTTTTGTATTCAGGTAATGTGCTCATAGTTTTGTCACTGATTTGGTCCAATGTGCAATGCTTAACATCTATCAAGAGTCAGATCATTTTGGTTTTTGTTTTGGTTGAATGCCTAGAAAAATCCTTTATCATGATTTAGCCTATAATTTGCTTAATTACTCTAGACACCATGGTGTCTGGTAGTGTCAGATTGATCTGTAGCTTTGGTATAATTCCATTTGATGTGGTTGTTTCTTAGATAGATAAGTTTCTGTTTTTTCCATGTAGTACCTGGTATGTTGATCAATTAAGTCTGTCCTTTTGCAACCTTACAAGCAACCTCTCATTTGTTACTATTATGTTATGCTTGGTTCTTTTTGGTGATAGCTACCTGATTAATTAAAGTTCCGCCTTTTCCAATCTTATCAACAATCTGTTGTTTGCATCTATGACCTCTCTGCAGGGTGAGTGGGTGCCTGTTGTTGTTGATGATTGGATCCCATGTGAAGCACCTGGAAAACCAGCTTTTGCTACCAGCAAGAAGGGTAATGAACTTTGGGTGTCAATATTGGAGAAGGCATATGCCAAGTTGCATGGTTCTTATGAGGCATTAGAAGGTGGGCTTGTTCAGGATGCCCTTGTAGACCTTACTGGAGGAGCTGGTGAAGAGATTGACATGAGGAGTCCCCAGGCACAGATTGATGTCGCAAGTGGTAGATTATGGTCTCAGTTATTACGTTTTAAGCAAGAAGGATTCCTTCTCGGTGCTGGAAGTCCATCAGGTTCAGATGTGCATGTTTCTTCCAATGGCATTGTGCAAGGGCATGCTTACTCATTACTGCAGGTTTGTTGGAGTCCAACTTCTCCATCTTACTGTATGTAACATATGCCAGCTTAAAGGAAAATTGAAATGGATGACCTGTACTGATTAAATTGGTATCCAGGTACGAGAAGTGGATGGACACAAGCTTGTTCAAATTCGGAACCCATGGGCAAATGAAGTTGAGTGGAATGGTCCATGGTCTGACTCATCATCTGAATGGACTGATAGGATGAGGCACAAGCTTAAGCATGTTCCACAGGTGGTTAATTTTCTTTAATTCCAGTTTAAGTGTCTTCTATTTGTTCCCTTTTTTTTTTTTTTTCTTTTCGCTTAGTAATGGGATTATTGTTTTATTACATCCATCTCTATTTTGTGATCTTGGACTATGCTCATTGTCATTTGACAATTTATTCTTGAACAGTCAAAAGAAGGTATATTCTGGATGTCATGGCAAGATTTTCAGATTCACTTCAGGTCCATTTATGTATGTCGTGTCTACCCTCCTGAGATGCGGTATTCTGTCCATGGTCAATGGCGGGGTTACAGTGCTGGTGGCTGTCAAGACTATGATTCATGGCATCAAAATCCCCAGTTCAGATTGAGGGCAACTGGTCAAGATGCATCATTTCCAATCCACGTGTTCATCACCTTAACTCAGGTATTTTTTCCTGATGGATATCCAAGTAAATTATTACTGTAGAATTTTGAAAAGAGGACTGTTTTGGGCATTCCTTGAATTTAATCTTGCATTTGTATGTTCAGGGTGTGAGCTTCTCAAGAACAGCAGCTGGTTTCAGAAATTATCAATCTAGTCATGATTCATTGATGTTCTATATTGGGATGAGGATACTCAAAACTCGTGGTCGCCGCGCTGCTTATAACATTTACCTACATGAGTCAGTTGGTGGAACAGATTATGTCAATTCTCGAGAAATATCATGTGAAATGGTTTTGGATCCTGATCCAAAGGGTTACACAATAGTGCCAACAACCATACATCCTGGGGAAGAAGCACCCTTTGTTCTCTCTGTTTTCACCAAAGCATCCATAGTCTTGGAACCATTATAGCATGCATGGGTGGCTTCTTGACTCAGCCTTTTGTCCTTCAGGCTGATGCATGCTGGCAAAATCTCAGGGTGCTTGGATTGTCCGTGGGTGGTGTGCACCAGCAGGCAGGTCTGGAGGAACCAGAAATCACATAAAGAGCAACAAGGTAATATACATCTGTCTTTGATCTTGAGGCAATATACATCAAATACCTAATTCTTCGAAACACAAGCTGCTTGAGGGACTGATTTGTAGACCATCTTGGTTTCAGCTTTGATTCCATTACATGTACGCATGGTAGAAGATATACTTCCTAAAGGAGCTTGAGTGTATCATCCAGACAAAGAGGAACAATCAACTAGGACTAGAGATGTTTCTGTGGCATGTTTGTTTCTTGGACTACCTGCATCTGCCAGGATCGAAGAGGGGTTCTTGGGGTGATTCAGTGTACATTTATAGGTAATGTAAGCGGTATAGGTCCAATCATGTAAATGAAGAAAAAAAAAAGGATAGAGAAATTTGAAAGAAATAGGCAAATAGTTACTAACTGGTAGAGGAACAGAGAGATGGATTGCAGCTGCCGAAGGTTGGCAGTTTAAGCTGCAGTTTTGAAATGCTTTTGTATAAACATTCCTTGTCAATCAATTCCCATCTAATTATTAATTTTATCTCAGTTTTGGAGCATGTGATCTCACATGCCCTCTTTTTTCTATCGAAGTCTGGCTTTCATTCTACTGTCCTTGATTCCAAAGGAATAAAGTTCAGGTCCTCAATTTAGCCTTCAAACATGATTCATTTATTCTTTATAGGACTTTGTCTTCATTTTTATTCCTGGGTAGAATATAGGATTGTCTTTTTATTTTTTTTTTTGGATCAGCATAGGATTTGTCTTTTGTTTGCATTTAGGCAATGCTTCTTTTCCTCACTGCATCCTGTACCAATGTTAATGAAACTACCTGTCACGGTATTTCAAATTTAGTTTATTGCAATGCCAGTTACATGAAATATTATTACAACATATGATTCATGGCATTACATGGAAATCGTATTTGGAACACCCCTGAGGTACCAAGTTGGGACCAAACTATTAATTTGAGGACGAATCTGTATGCTAGCTTCTTCTATTTTCCATCAAAGAGTTTGAAAGCGGCCTTGATTACAGGATCTTCCCATAATCGCTCAGGCTTGCCAAATGAGTGATGATGAATGTTTTTGTTGAGATCTTCAGCAGCAATTTTTTGCACCAAAGCCAACTACAAGCGTGACAAATTGGAACCAAGAGGGAAGTAGGACACTACAATGGGAGCTCCCCTGGATTTTGATTTCCTTGATATGTGCTTGGACTGCCCTTTCGCTTTCTTGTAGTCACCTCCTGCGACATCATCAGAAGAAACACGCGATGAAGGTGCAAAACAACTAAAAATAGCTGAAAAGAAAGACATTGCTGGTGACAAGTGCTCAATAACTAGTTGTTGATTTGTGAAGAAGAGGAAGTGGAATGAAACAAATATTCAGAAAGCTGATGGATGAGTTATGGCCTTAATGGGTATAAATTGCTGCATTTATAGAGACGAGAGAAATGGGATGATAGTCAATTAGTTACGCTTAGCTTGCGGAGCAAGGACATTATTTTCAACAAAGCATTTTTCACGACTGCCCGCTTTGAAGTTGACCAAATTACTATGTTATTAATTCGATGGATTCTTCCATTTTTCTTAAAAGCAGGCATGCCGTGCGGTGCAAGTAAAGATTAGGTGGCACGTTTTTCTTTTTTTTTTTTTATGAAAAGGACCTTCTCTTGGGTTAGGGCAGTGTGACCGAAATTTAAGAAGGGCCAAAATTTATTTTTTATATGTAAATATAATATAAATTATAATTTATATAAAATAAAACAATAACTTAACATGGAATATGATATTACAAAATTAAATTATTTTGTTACTTTATAAGAGTTATAGGTGAAATTTAGTTTTGTAATGCCATTAAAAAATTGTAATGAATGAGGGGACAAGTGGAGACTTGATAATGGACAGAGAAAGACAAAAAAAAAATTTAATAAAGTTTTTCAACTAACACAAAATATAACTTATTTATTATAAAAAGAGGAATGAATGAGAGAACGAGTAGAGTTTGCAACTAAAAATTTTTTAGGGCTAATTAGGAATTTTGAAAACTATTTTTATGATATTCTTTTTAAAAATGGCTATTTTATACTATTTTTTTAATAATATTCACAAAATAAAAAGAAAAACAAAAGCACTTTGTTGGTTTTTTTTTTTTTTAAATTTCAAATAAATATTAAAGTGAACTTTTTACTATATATGCACTAAAATTTTCAAATCCAATATTTACTATTTTACTTAATTTAAATATATATTCATTTATTTACTAAAATTTACTAAAATATTAAAATACATATTTTTTTTTAAAAGGGCAGGGGGCCATGGCACCCTCTACCCTTATTATCCCTCATCCCTGGTTGGAGTGGTTGAATAAGAAAAATGTTGTCCAGTTTAAATAGTAAGTTCCTTGATATTGGGGTTTTTTTCATTTAATAATTCTTATTTTATAGTTTTAATAATTGTAAAGTATGAAACTCTAGTTGAATTGTTCTAATAAGTGACCAAATTCATCAAAATTAAATTTGCTATGGAGTTTAAATTCTCTAAAGTTTGAGGACTAATTGGTTCTAAATTTGAGAAATTTAAGGAGTTCACCCTTTTTCTTTAACATTTCAACTGACGGAGCTTAAAAGTTCTGTTAAAAAAGGATTGCCCAGCCGGGGTTTTTATTCCAACCTTTTTTATTCAGGGACTTAAAAGTTAAAACCTTATAAATTTAGGATCCCAATCATTAATTTAACCACAAATAGATTATCAACTGTCCCTGATTCCAAAGAAGACAAGCTCATGTCCTCAATTTATCTTTAGTTTGCATTTAGGCATACTTACTTTCCTCATTGAATCCTTTGTACCTAAGATGTGTACCACAGTATTATACATGTTGCTTCTGTTAATGAAACTACATGTTACTGTTGCACAGCATTTCAAATTTCCAATTTAGTTTATTATTCCAATACCAGTTACATGAACATTACAAGATATTGATTCATGACATTATATGGAAATGCTATATGGAACACCTTTCCATGTGAAGCCAGGTTCTGAGACTGTCTTCAAGAAGGTATAGGGAACAACCTCATTCCTAGCTCACTACTTTTCCAGCAGCCTTTATCACAGGATCTTCTTCCCAACATGGCTCAGGACTCAGGTTCACTGCCATTTAACAGGCAAATGAGTGATGAAGGATGTTGTTGAGATCTTACCAGTATTTTGTTGCATCAAAACCTGCTACAAGCGCGATGAATTGGAACCAAGAGGGAAGTGGGATACTACTATTGGAGCTCCCTTGGATTTTGATTTGCTTGATGTGTGCTTGTTTGGGTTCCCTTTCTCTTTCTCGTTGGCAGCTACGGCTACATCACCAGATCCACGTGATGAAGGTATAAAACAACTGAAAATAGCTGAAAGGAAAGACATTGCTCGTGACAAGTGCTTAACTAAGTTGCTTGATTTGTCAAGAAAAGGAAGCGGAAATGTAATAATATTCAGAGAGCGGATGAGTTGTGGGTATGAATTGGTGTAATTTATAGAGACAGAAGAAATAGGATCAATGGATCATAGACTCATAGTTATCCTCAGCTTGGAGAGCAAGGAACTTAAATAAACAAAGTTTCTTTCCACCAGTGGCTGCTTTAAAGTTTGACCAAATTTTAGCATTTCAAATTAATCAACACGGCAAGGAAGACTAAATAAAAGTATTTAAATAATTTTATAAAAAATTTTAAAATTTAAAATGTTAAGATATTTTAATTTTTACTTCTTCCTTTTCTTTTCTTTTTTTTTTCTTTTTTTTTTTAATAAAATCTTTGTAACTATTCCCTTTTTATAATAAAAAATGTTCTTTTTGGTTTTAGTCAAAAAGTAGCATAATTTTGTGCTTGATCAGATACTAGACTCTTTCAGAGTACAGGTCTGAATCTTTACTAAACTATTTCCTAGTTGTTTGGGGCTTATAATACACATGAGCTAGGGCAACACACAAATGGATTGCAGCTGCAAAAGATTGACAGTTTTAAGATGCGATCATTTATAAAACAGAAACGAAAAGTTTTATATACCTTCCTGGACTGGACTACAAGTTCCAGAATCCAGAGGTTCTTAAAAGTTGGAAAACGCAGAAACAAAGATGTCAATAATGTAGTAGAAGCATAATGATTCATGAAAAAAGCTCAAATATTTTCCAAATGTCAAATTTTTCCATGCTACACCTCTCCTGTTGACTGTTCTCTCTCAAAAATAAACAACAAAACACGACAGCAAGAATTTACAGAATTCTCTCCTGGCTGTGAAAAATTCAGATGCTTCATGCCCATGATTATCCCTCATTCTGAATCACTTTCCATGCTGCCCATGGCTTTCAATCCTCTAGGTTTCTGCATTCCCACATTGAAGAAGAACCTTAATCAAAGATAACGAAACACTAAA